CAGTTTTATTCTGTGGAACTGCAGACTACAACTTGGCAAGCTTTGCCGCCATTACAAACTCAAAGGTGGTCATGTGACCACTAACAAAAGAACATCTAGCTTACTAAATATAGATACAAAGTTATCACATATTGACATTATTATTCGTGAATATCGCACTTAAATTTGAGGTACTCTGTCAGGGATCGCAACTTGGAACACTTCTAACAACCCTGATCGGTTGGCCCCTTCTATTCGTCATGTGTTTTAGAAAGGTCGATGTTTTTTCCTTTATTGGATAGCTTAAACCTAGTTGTACATGTAGTTGGTGGATCGGTTTATTGTGTGTGTTTTATTATGTTATACATGTACATGTATACATATCATATTTAGGCATCACTTTTTCCGTTCAAAATAAAGATGGCCTCTCACCGATTCATTGCCTTTTGATTTTTCGTGTCATTATTTTTGTTTCCAAGCATATATTTGGAATGTAGTTTACAATGCTGGTGACATCATGTCTCTAAGAATAACATCCTGCAGTATCAATTCTTTAGCACTGCCAGAAATTGAGTAGGCAGATTTTTTTTTTTGCACCGATGAAAATTTATTTTCGGGCGCCATTTTGTTTTTGACTTACTGGACTTACCTGACACGTTGTCAGTGGGTTGGCTCCTTTTACAGTAAGAAACTGCGTTCAGCCATAATACTTTTTTTCAGTGTGAATAGATGTACAATTACCTTTTGGTGATGTGGTTATTTTTTCTCTCGGATCTTCGTATTTTGATAAACCACGGTAATATGTTCAGTTCTGTTAGCAGTTTGTGATTGTAGTTAGTGTACGCTCAGCTTTGTGGCTAATTGTCCAAAGTGTGAATGGTTTATTTACCCGCAACACGTCCTGGGACTATAGACTGCGTAGTGTTTCCAGACCGGGGATAGAAGGTCTGTGCTGAAAGGAAATGTCCCAATTCCCAATTCTAAAACAATTGGTTTCTTAGTGTCCCTTGGAAGAAAAGACATACCGGTACTCTCGTAACATACTCTTTTTCACAACACGTGATATAAACATTCGTAAATAAAAGATGTGCGAGTCGTTCAGAGTTGAAGCCAAGCAGTTCAAACAACACATTTTATTTGTAAATAACATCATATACAACCACTGATCTTCTAAACATAGATGGCGTGCAACCACAGACCACATTGCACAGCTTTTTAAATTGTTAGGTCATTCAACTTTCCTCAATTCCATTGACATGTACTTCTTACTTGTGATAACATTATTTATCTTCAAATCTTGGAAAGAATGACAGACACATGCACTATGAACAAGTTTCCCCAGTCTCTCACTTTACTGTGTTTAAGAGAGACATTTTTAGCTTGTCAGCTATTTTCAAAAGACAAAGTCTGATTTTATATGAAAAACATATATTCATTAATTAAATGAAGTGTATTTGAAATGGTGTTATTTGGATTCTCATCAAAACAGAAATCCAACATGGCTAAAAGTCTGAGAAGTAAGAGGAAACGAAAGTTCCGGGCTATGAAGCGCGAGAAGATTGGCAAAAGGAACATGGTTAAAATGAAGAAAATGCTTGGACTTAATGAAGACGGAACAAGAGACGTGGAAATGAAGGATATGTACACAGGTATGAGTTGGCTTTGACATTGATATGCAGTGTTTACCCAACAGTATAACGCCAGTGCAGTACAGTATTTAATTTTGTTGACCCAAAAAGTTAATAATCATCTCTGGAAGTCAACAAAACTGAATTTTCTTTACTGACCACTCTGGCAACATGATGGTTTATTTTATATAATGGAAATACACAGTAGCCAATAAATGGTTGCAATGGTTGCCATACATGTAAGAATATATTTTAGTAGACAACATTTTCTGTTTTGTTGACACTAAAACTAAAAGATACAGTCTAAAACTGAACTAAACTTAGAGTCTTGAATATTCAGAATAATTGATTCCACTGCATGGTTTAGATTAGATAAGAGTACAAATCCCACCAGTCAAAAACAATGAACAGAGAGTCTATATTCATAGTTTAGCTTTATTACAGTATTTATTCATAGGTTGCTGCTTTATTATGTATGTAAATGTTTGCAATAAATAGCAATAGCAGGAACAGTCTAAACTATTCAAAAAAATACATGTAGACTTCTTTTATCCAAATTGTTCACACTTGCTCTGTCTGCTGTATAAACTTTTACTTTTGATTCTAGTAACAACTACCGCTGAAGTTCTAAGAAAAAAAGATGAAGAAATGGAGCAGAAACGGAAAGCAGAGGCCCCTGAGGTGAAAGTTGTAGCAGCTCCCGATGGTAGGTCATCTTAATTCAAATGTAGCATATGAAATGCATCTGTATGTTTGCTTTCATGTGAGGAATTTCTATTGGGTATTACCGAGTAGGAGCAATAGAATATGATAGAATTTTTGGAATACAAATTTAATAAAATTAATAAACCCTCGCTAACTCTGATCATCAAACTGTGATAGTTTCCATTGATAAATTTACAGATTTCTTGATTTACAGTGACTACTTTTTTTGGCTATTTGTGTGTGCGTCTGCCCGGGCCTGTATCACAGACACATCTGGGCCGATTACATTCAAACTTCACTCACACATCAGGCATCATGTCATACATATGCATACAATTGTTTTATGAATCAATTCAAGATGGCTGAATAATGACCATTTTATTTATTTTGACTGCAATATAATTGTGGGACTTGTTCATTAACACCCCCAGCTCATATTCTTCTACTTTTAATAATTTCAAGATTAATTATAAATCTGATTGATCTACTACCGGGGGTACGTGTACGCTTGCTCTTGTGTATCAATATTAGATTACATTATATCTAGGTAGAGTCTCACTTCTGACTGATGTTGATATCATGCAAATAGATAACTTTATTATGGACTGCATAAATTATATCTTACATCAGCATAAGGTTCAGCATGCCATACTCAGCATTATTATACAATGTATGCCTAGATCTCAGGTGCTGAATGCTACAAAAATAAGAGCTATAATTATTGTACATTTGACCCCTTTACCTGATCAATGAAAACATAAAGCACATAATCGCAGAGCATATAAGCTGATGCTTACAATGTATGAAAACCTAAATTGTGGTATTTTGTTAATAGTCTTATTATTGTACATTATTTTTTAAAGAAAAAAAAGAAAAGGTCGACTAAAATACTGCTTTTGCATTCAGAACTTATTCGCCACCAGGCGCTGTCAGTGACATATTCAAAATTTGCATAATCGAACACACCAGACGCGCACACTGCACTGACACAAGTTCTGAGTGCTCCTTACTTACTCGATTGAACCATAAGAAAGGCCATATGGACATTAAAAATATCTTCAGAAACAATATAACATGTAGTAACAATGAGAAGATACAACAACAAGATACAACAATCGGGATACTGTCGCCTTGACAGAACTCATTGATAAGCACTGCCGACATTTCCTCATATAAATCAGTGAAATGTCCCAGTACATTGAAACTCAAATTGAGATTGAAATAGCAGACTACAAGTGGTGCGGAGGAGGGTGAAGCCGAAGGGGCCTTCCAAATGTTATGCAAATGAGGGATGTCAGTTACAAACCCTGCACAGTACAAATACTACTTTAGACTGCACTGTTTAGAATTTTGTTATCGTTTTAGTTCACAAAAAGCTTAAGGTTATACCCAAAATAGCAAAACTTTGCATCATAAATCCCAGTATTTTGTGATTAACCACATATTCTACCCTTTTAGGAAATGCAAATTCCAAATATGGAATGACTACGGGATATTTCCAAGATGTAAACAAGTTCATAGCAAGAAAGTTCTACTAAATTTCACTATTTTGTTCAGTTCTGAGCTTCAGACACTGAGCAGTTTGCTCAGGAAGATGTATAATAAATAATATTTCAGAATAACCTTATATTCACATGACATAACCATGACAACCTTATTATTTATTGCAGGAGAGGCGATGGAAGTGGACGCCAAAAAGTCAAAAACTTTAGTGAACTCTCATGGAAATTACCCCATCTGGTTGAGCAGCCGATCAGTTCGAAAAATAAAAAATAAAAGACAGAAGAAGAAGAAATATGCTTGGTAAAAAAATGAACCCGAGATTGGTCAATGGACTTAGAGACTATTTGTTTACTGTAATTTAAAAGATAAAAATAAACCAAAATATGGCAGATGGTCATTTTGCAGTTTTAACTTAGCTGCCAAGTGCACCTCATTAACGTGCATGTATATTGTGTGCATATGCATGCATGATTGTTTCCATGTTGAAAACTACAAAACAGTTGCAAAATAGAAGTAAATTACTGTAAAAAGTTGTCATTGAATAAACCTTTTCCCTGTGGATAATATTTGTATATAATCCAACAATATTTTCTCTTGAATTGATGTGAGAAAGTGTCTGCCGAGAAAAAAAAAAAATTATGAAATTGAATAATGAGAAAAATATATATATATATCACACGCACATTTCCACAGTCTGAAAAATAAGATGATGAAGAATTCAAATTGGAGCTTTTGCTGACAGTGAATATCGCTCCTAGTATGCTATAGTGTTCTATTTCTTGCACCTTGAATATACATATTACATATGTGAAGATTCTGCTTTGGTTGGTGATATTTGATTTGTTGAAGGATTTGGTTTAATTTTCAAAAGTTTTTTTTGAAACTACCAAATAATTATTCTCACACAAGATTGCCAATATTGTTACTGTAATCTATAGTTTCCACACCATTAAAATTAGAAGTTCTGGACAACCATAATTTGGCAGTACGTAACATCAAGATATGTTATTTGCATTTTTGATCTGTCCTGTATTACATCTAATTATGACGATACACATGTAATGTTACGCAGGTGATAAATACCTGTATCCCTGTATTTCATCTTGTACTCACAGACTTTGTGTTTATTTCATCTCCTACTGTATCTGTTGAATACCGGATGTTCCATAATATACATTGTTACATTCCAATGACTACTCCTGGACCAGTAATTTGTAATAAATTTATTACATTTCAATAAATTTTCTAGATTCCTTTACTGGTAACTGTGCATCTAATGGATGCAAGTGATGCACACACGTCTCTTTGGACACAAAGTTTTCCCATCAAGTTTTGGTACTGTAACAGTGTTTTGTAATGTTTCGGTTCATTTCAGACCAAATTGATAATTTTGTGATGTCTTTATCAAAATTGTTGAAAAAAAAGTTGATTTGAAAAAAGTTTATTTATTTTGTGAAATGTGACAATTTTTTTTTCAAAAACTGGGAAATTATATTTATTTGATTGAAAAATGCACAAAATTTTGATAAACAAGCAGCCTGTCGGCTGAGATAGCCTCGCTGTTAGCAATGCACTTTTCAATTAAAGAACTGAAGATACCATTAGAAAATGAACAACATGTATAGTATCAAAGCAATCTGACTTGCTGTTTTCAACAAGAATTCGAAAATATCACTTTTTACCAAAAATATTTATCAAAATTAGATAATTGAAGATATCACGAAATGAACAAATCTGAGAGAGGTCTACATGTAGTACCTATATATATATATATATTATCAAAGCAATCAGACTTGCGGTTTTCAACAAGAAGTCAAAAATATCACTTTTACCAAAAATGACAAAAATATTCATCAAAATTAGAGAATTAAAGATATCACGAAATGAACAAATCTGAGAGGTCTGCTCAAGGTACATATACACCAAGTATCAAAGCAATAAGAATTGTAGTTTTCAAGAACAAGTTGAAAATGTAAAAAGTTGACACGGATGACGACGGTGATGGTCAATCACTCATATGATAAGCTCCGCTCGACAAAGTCGACAGCAGAGCTAAAAACAGAATTTAAGATTAAGGATCAATATGTCCACTGCTGCAAGATTGACTCACTGACATCACTGAAAACCCTAGCATTACCATCTAACCTATTTATTTACTTTGAGCATGCTCGGTTGTTCTCTCAGTGTTGTTGGGGAGGTAATTTATGATGAAAATCGTGAAAACGATCCACTTAGGATTGTCAGATCTGGGGAAAAAATGATGTGCATATTCTACAGGGACTTGTTCATCAACCTGCCAAGTTTCATCGATATCTGCCGCAGAATTTCTGAGCAAATGTTAGAGATGTCACAGACGGAAACCGGAAATAAGAAACTATACTCCCCTTTTCAGGCTGCGTTTTCACAGCAAAACTGACAGTACCCAGTATTTTGATGAAAATGTGTACCTACCTTTTGAATATGTACAGGAAAATTCCAGGATTGTGTGCATTTCATTGAATTACTGTTGCAGTTTGCTGCCACACCAACATTTTTTTTGGACAATAAATCATACTCGTATTATTCCAATTAAGAAACAATATTTTAAAACATAAGTCATTGTCAATGAAATAGCCCCTGTCCAGTTTCTGGCTCAACGGACCATAGGTCCGCTGAGCCTATGGGATGGGTTTCTGTCCTGTGTCTGTCGTCCGTCTGTCTATCTGTCTGTGCACGACTTCTTCTCAAAAACCGCCAAACTGTTTGACTCGATTTTTAGTGTGTGGATGCCTTTATGAGTGTAGATGGTAATTTGTTCATGAGAAGTCGATCTGCCAAAAATTATGCAAATTAGCCCCCCAAAACTCTAAAATTTCTTCTATGCTACAATGACAAAAGTGGTCTACAGTGCTGATATTGATAGTACATGTGCCTTGGGTTGTCCTCTATCAGTTTTGTTAATTTGGTAAGGAAATTTTCAATTTCCTAATTTTGGCGAATATTTTTTGTCAAAAATTCTATTTTCGACTTCTTCTTCAAAACCGGTATAGTAGCCTGAATGCTTTGATATTTGGTGTGTATGTACCTTGTGTTGACATCTACTAGATGTGTTCATCCCATGGCCATATCTTTAATTCTCTAATTTTGGCAAATATTTTTGTTATTTTTGGTTAAAAATGGAATTTCAACTAACCACTATTTCCAATGCTTTGGTGTTAGGCATACATGTGTTTATTATTCCATTGACAACTTTGTGTGGTTGTTTGGTGATATTTCATTTAAAAGTACAAATTGTTGACATCTTCACTTCTCTATTTTTAGCAAATATTTTGTCATTTTTCATCAAAAATAGTACTTTTGACTTGTTCTTCAAAACCAGTAGTCCAAATTCTTTGATACTTGGTACACATGTAGCTTGGATGACACTTCACCCAGTCACTAAAAGTGGCCAAATTTATCAAAAATTTCAGAAATTCATGATTTTTTTTGATTACCTTCTCCTTTAATGCACTACAGTTGTCGAAAAATGGACAAAACTTGGGAAGATTATACAATGATGCCATATTGAAATTATATGCTCACAGAGAGATATGTAATATTTCCCATTTGTTCTGTCAACTGTTTCT